TTAGAGACAGTTCTTACTCCTTTCATTTTGTAGAATATGCGATTGTCTGTTTCTGCTGCAATATCAATAGATAAAACTTGTGAAAATTCTTCGAAGTGACACGTTCCATTAGTCCATTGAAAACATAGAGGGACGGTGGGACCATTCAATTGAAGTTTGATTGCCAGTTTTGATTCTATCATCGAACAGGTAGAACCTTCATCAAAGAGTGCGAATACCCTTTCTTCACCTAATTGCCCTCGTATTATTACTGGCGCAATCCTCAACAAAACGGTTTTATCTTCCAGTATCTGATTGCCACAAAACTCTGTTTCTCTGTCAGATATGTTTCCTTCGTTCTGTACAATGATTCTTTCCATATGCAAAAGTTTGTTATGTCTTCCTTTACAGCCAGTCGAATCACATTTGATTCTATGATTATTACATCTCGTAGACATGTGTCCAGGTTTGAGACATATGAAACAATTAAAGCCTTCGATCGAGAACTGCCGCCCTTCTTTCAGAAATAGGTTTCTTGAGGAATTCTTCACATTCATTAATGTTGTGATTGGCGTCTTCACAAAATGCACATTCATTATTCGTATTTCCATATTTTTTCGTTGCAACCATTACACTATCTTTTTTTATAATGGGTTTGAAATTCGGTTTCCGATAGGGTTGTGATATTGCTGCAACTGAATTCACTTCCTCCTCTAACCAGTTGTCAAAATGCTCCAGTGAAATACGGACCCCTCTCAGTTCCAAATGATATTTGTATTTACCCCAACTATATTTTTGATATTGAGGCAGTTTTTCCATCAATGTAGCTAAAAGATCTGGATTGAACAAGTAATGCTCGTGGTCAAGTGTTTTAATCGTGGTAACCATGCTGCTGACTGCGTTCAAAAAGTCAATACTTGTTTCTATTCTTTCATCTTTAATAGGATACATCTTCTTTGCTCTATCAATCAAAGAAAGGATTATCCATTCTGGTCGGCCAAAATTCATTTCTAACATTTTAATGATTTTTGAGACGTTCTTTGGCGAAGTCAATAACGCTCGTACGGATTCCCTTGCTCTTCCTTTCAATGCTTTGTCTAAGCGCAGTAAGTTTTCATCGTCACTGATATCATACATTTCAGTAGAACGCTTGTATTCACTAATGAATATCGGCCATTCAAATAATTCTCCTGCGAAATATGAAAGATCTCTCTGTTTTTGCTGCAATAGTATCTTACTGGTTGCAGCAGAATTTTCGGCAAATTTTTTAACAATGTCTAAAAGAATTTCTTCCTTATTCGTCACTTTCTCATTCTTGTCCACTGGGTCAGGTTTCCTCTCTGTGGTCAAGTCACAAAAATCATAGTTTTGAGTACAGTTTGACACTACACACTTTTTTGCTTCTTCGATCCATTTATTTAAAACGGAACTGGCGTATAATTGTGGTTCTTCATGTTTAGGCATACGACAATAATCCTCTTCCTGTTGCTCTAGAATTTCTTTACGGATTTTCATCTCCTTCATTAATAACTCTTTTTTCTCCTCGATGGCTCTCAGTCGTTCATATGATTCTTCATCTGCAAGTTTTTTCTGTTTCTCTATCATCATTAAATCCAAACTGAGTTTGGATAAAATACTTTGTTTGGACGAAACAGACTCTGATTGCTCACTTGGTTTATCAGAATCTTGTTTTCTATTGCTCAGATATGTTTTTGCAGACCTCGCTACGTGATCTTTTCCGATATTAGCGGAATCTTCAGGCACTCCAGCACTGCTAGTTGAAGCTCCATATCCGATCACGGTCGCAGAATATCGTTTTGGGGGAACACCTTTGTTCAATCTAGAGCTTCTCCGCGGCGGGATGGTTTTTCCATCGGAGCTCCCGTTATTTTGTTCCATAGCGCGATTCACTTTAGCTCGAAAGGACCAATGTTAAATTTGGTAATAATTAGACTCACAATTCAGTGGATTGTATGAAATTATACCTTTATTCACTGACAAGTTGTCACAAAATTAAAAATTATCTTTTTCGACGTGACATTCAACATATAGGGTTAATCAACTGACGATATTTATATAAGGTAATTCAATTACATAAATACAACACAGGGTGTCCGGAAATTATGCGCAAAAAATCAAGGGAGTGATTCTGCATGAGAAAACATGAGATTTATTTCAAATATACTTGGGTCCGGAAATGCATAGTTTTCAAGATACAGTGTGTTAAACTTTTTAGAAAAAAATCGGTTTTTCATGAATATCTCAAATATCCTTCCACCGATTCTCTTGAAATTTGGCAATGATATTCTTTGTCATGAGGGGCTGGTTTAGTCATAATCAAATTAGAATTGTGAAATCCAGTGGCGTCCCGGGGGCACCCTACCGAATATTATTGTCAATAAAATGTGCGGCACTGAATTTTTAAAATTCTATATCTTTATATCCTAATGATTGAATAAAAATAAAACAATTTGGGCTCTTGAATTTTTTTGCTATTTTGCTGCGTTTCCGTGGAAAAAAAATAATACCAATTCATTGAACAAATTTGTGTAAAACATTGCTTCAAAAACAGGGGTGAAATTAAATATGTAATCCATGTCCATAGACGTAGAATAAGAATGAAGATCCATTTTCTTCGAATATTATTTAATACACGTTTGACACTCTTTGTATCATCGAAAACTACGCCTTCCTGGACCGAGAATACATAGTTCCCAATACACAAAGTGTAGAGTGTGTCAAACATGTATCAAGAAATATTTGAAGATAATAAATCTTCATACTTATTCTATGTCTATGGACATTGATCACGCATTCATTTTCTCCCCAGTTTTTGAAGGAATTTTTTGGCACAAATTTTTGCAATAAATTGGTACCTATTTATTTTTTGCATGAAAATGAAGCATATTATCGAAACAATTCAGGAGACCAAAATGTTGTATTTTTAGTTGGTCAATAGGTTATGAATATAAAGAATACAAGAAAATCAGTGGCGCACATTTTATTGATTGATTTCATAATTCTGATTGAATCATGGCTATATGAGCCCCTCATGACAAATAATATCATTGCCAAATTTCAAGAAAATCGGTGGAAGGACATTTGAGATATTCATAAAAAACCGATCTTTTTTAATAATTTCAACACACTGGTATGTTGAAAACTATACATTTCCGGACCCACGTACATATAAAATGAATTTCTTATTTCATCATGTAGAATCACCCCCTTGATTTTTTGCGCATAATTTCCGGACACCCTGTATACAGCTAGGGTGTCCCATAAGTAATGTATCAAAAGAAGTGGGGTGGTAGGGGGTGTCATTTGTAATCAAACTAATGGTATATGTTGTTATCAAATTGTTGATGGTTATGGCGTTGCTAAAACAAGAAAATAATAATATAACAATATATTCAGTTTCTGAAATTAATTATTTCAATAACTATGTCCACTGTTAGCCCTCTACCACTGCCACCTTGATAAAATCAACAAGAACGCCTGAAAATTTTGAATCGATTGTCACTATTGTCAGTGACACCTTCTTTTAAAAAAAGGTTCGAAGAAGAGAAATATGGAATTCTTACTTGGCTTTTGACGTTTCGGAAACGAATATGTTCCTGTTTTCAACATAAAAAATGGAAGATATTGTTCTTCCCGAATTTTATGAAAATGATAAATTCAAGATAAATTCATGAAAACATCCTGCAACCTATTGTTGTTTGCATCAACATCTCTGTCACTGAGAAGTATCGTGTCAATATTGAAGAAGAAAAATATTTTAAATTTTTTCATTATTTTGATGTGGAGGGGGCAAAATAATATATTTGCCACAGGGCCTGTGGTCTTAAACCGGCCCTGATGGCTGCTTCCAGTTGGAGCTACACTCTTTCTTCATAAGGTGTGTGAATCTACAATTACAAAGTAGGTATATGATTAGAGATACCTCAATTGTTCGGAGTGAGAAATTATGTCAACATAAATGAAATAAATCGCATTATTTTAAATAATATATTTTTTCTACTCACATAACTAAAATGGCATTTAGCGTACGGATATGTACCACGATAAATGATCGATTAATCACGGATTGTCGATCTGTGATTTATTCAAAATATTAAACACGTTACCATGGCAACACGATTTCTTAAACACATTACCATGGCAACGCAGTTCATTAAACACAGCTTCAGGAATTCGAGACATGTCTGGCCTGTCAATTGTATTAACTGTCAACTGTTATTTTCAAATTTTGTATCAGAATTATTCAAACAATATTCGTTTGTATCAGAATTCTTCATTAAAAATATATGCGAAAAGTAGACGAAAGTGAAATCGACGAGAATGTTCTGGTACTTGCATATCTCCAAGAAGTTAAAAAATAAAGCATCCATCTTTGAGAACAATTTATTTATTCTGCGCTAAGCATGACAATAAACGTGAAACAAAGGTTTAGTATACAAGCAATGGACTGGACACATCTACAACCAATATCACTTATACGTGTCTCGCTGGTTGAGTGGTTGCATGCAGTTGCATGTATTATGTTCTCAATTCCCATTCCTTTCGAATTATTTTGTAGGTTAACAAGAATTGCAGGTATGTTAATGTAATTTTCGGAGTTCGTAGAAAAATCATAGTATGTATAACGCGTTTATAAACTCTTCTAGACACTCGTTTATTAAACACTCGCTCCGCTCTGCTCCGCTCGTGCTTAAAATACTCGTTACTAAACGATCGTTTATAACACTTGTTACATAATATACTATTTCAAAGGTATAAATAGGTATATGACTTTATAGATATGAATATATGATGAAAATAATTATAGGTAGTTAAATTTTACTAGTTTTGAGATTCAATCATTTCCACTTGATCAGATCTAACACAGGTTTTATACGAGCTTTTCCATTTCAAATATGTCATTAACACTATATTTATACATATAATTATGAGAATTATCAAAATCATTGAGAGCAAGATTCTGTCGGCTGAAATTTTAGTTTCAGAATAATTTTTAGAGACTAACTTTTCATATCTATAGTCGTTTGTAGTTCCGGTTCTGATAATTTGTCAAAGTCTTTATTGAAAAAGTTGTACATTACACTTTTTGTAAAACCTTCATCCAGCAAATCGTCAGCTTTTTTCAATTCATCCAAATATTTAACAAAATTACTATTTCTGAATTCACTGTTAAAATAATCATTGAGGGTTTTGTTGAAATCATCATCCAAATCTTCGACGTTTTTGAGACTCTCCAAATATTTGAAAAATCGTGTGTTTTCAAAATCATTATCGAAATACTTGAACATTTGAGTTTCGTTGAACTTGTAGATATTGAGTTTTTGCATGTTTTCCATGTATTTATAGAAGTTACTATTTTTGAAATCATTATTGAAATAGGCGTGCATTGCACTCTTTCTGAAATCCTCATCATTATTGTTCACATGATCGAGTTTTTTCATCATTATTTTCTCAAATTCAGCATTTATGTTTTCCAACAATCCAACAGGCGTATCAGAGAACATTTCAAAAATTGGGAAACCTATTTCCAATTATATGTCTGTGTGTAGTAAACACTACTCTTTCATATCAAGAAAATATTTTTATGTTCAATCTATTTTTAATGCATTTTTTCATTCAAGGGAAATGGAATCCTAATGCAAAAGTTCATTTTGACAAAAGGCTTCAGAAAAGTACCTCGAATATGGTTTTTTTACAGTGATTTAATGTGCGCAAGACGCGTTGAAAATGTTCTGTTGTGTCCATGAAAAGGCTTTAAAAAGAACTAGGGAGAAGGTAGTTTTGTGACATATCAAGGACATCTCGATAATTGCCGCCTGCGGCGGACATTGGGTGTTCTATAATAGTTCTATTCATGTGTGAACAGAACATCGCAGTGGAGGTTCAATGTCTCGAAATCTCGTACTTTTATCATCTCTGAGATGTTTTTGTGCTCGCTGGGATTCAACGAAATCACCAAGTTGGAATTGGTAAGAAGACATCTGAGTAATGATTAAAAAATCGATTATTTATGGAAATATCAATACCCTGTATCTCTAAAACGATGCAAGTTAGGGCACATGTTTATATGAACTTTACTTTCTGAAATATCACAAGGAATCAGCCCCTGAAGTTTATCGCACTTATTCACTAACATCCTGTATAGGGCGCGTTCTTTGTCAGTGAGTCTGTTTATAACATGACTGACCACTGACCACATCAACACCAATAAGCAAAGAATAATATTTCAATCTGAAAATAGTTAAGCTTCAATCATTTCCACTTGATCGGAATGACCAAAAGATCTATTTGAGTTTTTCCATTTCAAATATGTCATCAATACTGAATTAATACAAATAATGATGAGTATGATCAAAATCATTGAGGGAAAAATTTTGTCGTCTGAATTACTGAATTCATGAGAGTCATTGTGGGTTAATTTGTCATATCTGGAGTAGTTTTGACTACCGGTGACCTCAGCTTTGAATGTTTGTGGAGACTTCTGTAAACTCATCAAGTATTTGTAAAAGTTACTGTTCTCGAAATCTTTATTGAAGAAGTTATACATTACACTTTTCGTAAAACCGGCATTGACCATATCGTCAGCTTTTTCTAATTCATCCAAATATTTAACAAAATTACTATTTTTGAATTCACTATTGAAATAATTGTTAACGGAATTATTAAAATCATTACTCATATCTTTACCAGTTTTCAGACTTTCTAAATATTTGAAGAATTTTGTATTTTCAAAATCTCTATCGAAATAGTTGAATAATTGAGATTCGTTGAACTTGAATGTATTCAGTTTTTGCAAGTTTTCCATATATTTATAAAAGTTACTATTTTTAAAATCATTATTGAAATAGCACATTGCACTTTTCTTGAAATCCTGGTCATTAGTCAAATGACCGAGTTTATTCATTATAATTTTCTCAAATTCAGCATTTATGTTTTCCAAAAATCCAATAGGCGTAGTTACAGTATTCTCTGAATCCTCATTTTCAGAACAAGAAATACCATGTATGTTGGATGTATTCTTAGTATCGCCATAATCAAAAAAGATTTTGTTTTTTTTCAAATCATGTATCAGGTTGATTAAATTCTCGCATGTCAAATCATTGTTAGCTATAGAAATAACCGACAATGCTGGTAAATCTTCAACCAATTGTTTCGCGTTCAAATAAAAAATTTTATTCTGGTTGATATATAGTTCTGTCAGATTAGAGAGTGAATGAAGATATCGTTTTATATCTTGGAGGTTGTTGTGTGAAATATCCAAAATATCGAGTTGATTCAAAGATTCGAAAGTACCATGTTGAAACTGTTCAAGTTTGTTATAAGATAAATTCAAATCGAGCAAATTATTTAGAGTAGAGAAAAATCCAATAGGAATTATTGAAATATTGTTATGACTCATGCTTAGCCTCTTTAAATTATTTGGAACAATGAAAAATACTGAATCTAATTCAGAAATTTCATTGAAACTCAGATCCAGTTCACGAAGATTGAAAAACATATCAGAACAACTACTATTTTTCAATGTCCTTATTCTGTTTTTACGCAAACTCAATGTTTGCATCTGAAGAGGAGGACAAAAATTTATTGTATCGAGCACATTGTTAGATAAATTGATATTTTCAACATTGGTCGATAAAGAATCGAACCTTGATATGTTATTGAAACTCAAGTCAAGAAAAGTGAGTAAAATGATATTCTTCTCCAATACGGATCCTTCAAAAACTAACAAATTGTTATGGGATATATTCAAAAGCTGCAGTTTGATCATACCGGTCAAGGAGTTTTCTTCTAGGTCGTTGATTTCATTTCTCGATAGATCCAAGCTTTCTAATTTATACAGAGAGTTGAAAACACCTGCTCTAATTTTCGTAATTAGGTTTCCTGACAAATTCATATGCTTCAGAGAGTGAAGAGAGTTGAAAGCTCCAGGAACTAGTTGTTTGATGTGCTGATTTACCATTTCGATGGTCGTCAGATATGAAAATTCTAAAAACGAAGAAGATGGAACTATCGTCAAGTTAGAATTTTCAATCACCATGGACTGCGGGCAATCGTTGCATTCATTCTTTTTTTCTGGAAATGATATCGGCCACACTACATCATCACATGTTATTCGTATACTCTCAATAACATAACGTGCAACTGGTTGTTGATATCGTCGATTATATCTATTATAGCCATTTATTCCGTCATTCGAAATTTCCTCTGTCTTCTTAACCATGGAGGCATTTTCCAAACATTTACTTGTAGTAGAAAAACCGATGAAATATACTAGTGCAATAAATAGTACCGTCACTATGAGACCTGCAACAAAAAGAGATAATCAGGCAACCAGATGACGAATGATCACGTCACTGTGACGTCCCTAATTGGTGATTTTTCGTCAGAGACGTCACACACCAATTCATGACGTCACTATGACGTACTTTCTATGACGTGATAATCACGTCATCGTTTCGACGTCGAGTAAACGTCACTTAGACGGGTGAAAGGAGACGTCAGATTCATGACGTTGCAGGAACGTCTTGACGACGTCCTTTTTTCCCAGACCTTCTCTAAACCATGGATACTTATATATTATTATAGGAAACATAAGTATAACTCATGGAAGCAAATCAACATGCAAGTTTCATTGGAATTATCAATGTACCCGAAAAATAGGAGAACAATTTTTTCTAACAAAACTTTGACACACTGTATTTCTCGGAAACCAACAAGCTATGTATATATACAAATGATTGTTGAGATATGCCTATATATTGAAACCGTTACTCTTCTGACGTTGCAGTGACGTATCTATGACGTCTAAAAATCACGTTGGTGTGACGTACCAATTTGGTGAGCTTGGTCATTCAGGAATTTTTTCAATAATTTGCTATTTAGATTTTTGTTGGGTGACAAAGAATGCATCAATATACATTATTCAACAAAGTGAAGCCAAATTCGCCAACATCCTTTCCCTTGCTATCAAACTATTCTTTGTTTGCTTACATCTCGCCGACATAAACTACGAAATTGTTGATACAAATACGAGTAACTGATTGCATTCTGATGGAATGCGAACTGAATGATAGCGCTGCTGAATAGGCTATCGAATGAACATGATACAGGAGGGACCCACCAAGCAGACTCAACAATGCATAATCGATCAATATTAGATAATGTCATCAGAGGCCAGTGGTGTTTATCACACCATGTTAAAGGAATCTTTTTTACGTATCATTGCAAAATTCAATCGTCATTTTGACGTCATTATGACGTCAATCGGCCGTCACAGTTTGGTGAGTGAATGACGTTTATACGACGTGAGTAAGATGACGTCATTGGGCTGTGACTTATTCACGTCATTATCACGTCATGCGACGTCAACTACTGACGTCACCTTGGTCATTCAAATGACGTAAAAAAGACGTCACTGGAACGTCACCTGGTTGCCTGGGATAATATCCTATTTTGTATTACATGCAACGATCGTATACAGAGAAGTGCACAAAATACGGCTGTAACTTCAGAATCATTCAAGATCGTATTCTGAGAATTGGTGAGTAGCAAATACACCGAATTACTCATTTTTCAAGTAGGAAAAATTGTTTAAAAGTTGTTTTTCTCTCGTTATCTCTAACATTTTCGTTGATTTTATGAAGTGATGTGCTAATGACTGAGTTTCTTTCTCTTTGTGACCATTTCATTCCACTTTGAGAATTTGGCCTTTCCTCGTTGAAAAAACCGCCAGTCGGGCATCTAATATAATCCAGTGAATAGAGGAAGTTCACCTTACAAACGGTCCGGTAGTTCTGAATTTTTGATATGTTATCTAGGATGGTTATGGAGTGTTTGAAATGTAAAATGCACAATTCCCCCTCCTCCGCGCCCACTGCCATATTGAAGGAACCGAAACAAATAGGAACTTTCTCCAGATTTTCGCTTATATTATCGTTATGGTGCATTTTATCTACAAGAGAGTCCCATTAAGTATTGTAGAGGATTGAATTTCCTATAACTCACGTTCTGAATTTTGATCCTAGGACTGATAGTTTCGGAGATATGCACCTTTTAAAAAAATGTAAAAATCGCATTTTCCGGAAATTTGTCAAACTTCTCACTTTAAAACGCTGTAGTTCACTTATGGCCTATTCTAGGGAAACAAGTATCGGAAGAAGATTTGTAGGGAATTCAATTACCTATATAGAAATGCATGTACAATTTTTTTCACCCACCCTATGTAATGGGGCGTGAAAATGAAAGTTAAAACAACGGCATATTGTTTATTTGGCTATTGTGACTCCACATATGCTTAAGATACAGGTACTCTTTCAATAGATTACCTACCTACTACCCATTCACTCAATGACCTGGTTGAGTTTGAGGGTACTTGTCTTCAATCTGCTATAGCGAAGGGAGCTCAACGATTGTTCTTTACTGCCACCAAGATTCTCTCCCCTGC